GGAAAACGACGACTAGGAGAACTTTACTTCAAATTTAGGGTTCATTCATACTCTTTACTTTTATCGATTTCTCTTATGATTATTAAATACTTGAAGATTGAAAATCACATTATGAGTAGCTAAATTCCCTAGGATTATGGCTACAAGATGATTGTGTATTATTGAACTTTAGGGATTGAAGTTGGTTATCACATAAATTACTCTTTTGGTCTTGATTTGGTATTTCATAATTGGCCACCATTGAAATAAACTTATTGGCCAAATTGAACTCGGGATAGGGATAGGAGGATAGAATGTGGGACAAAAGAAGCATGATCTTCTTTAGAAACTAGGGTTGATTTGTATATAGAATAGGATATACCTAGAGACTTTGCTTGATTATAAAACTAGATGAAAATGTAATGCTCGGCAATTGGCTCATTCTATCCCCGTTCAACGATGTAGTTAGACTGTCAATTGCGGTAGACGATTAGAGGTAGGGACATCATGATCATACATTTAACCCTGTAAATCAGTGATTTGCCAACCAATTAAAGTTCATAAAAGAATATATTATGCTTGAAATCAAAGGATATAATTATATTTGTTTATATATTGTATTCATTGATACAAAGTGAATATACATAAATTTTATATATATATTTGTATTTGTATTTGTTGATATAATTGTATTCATTAACACAAATTAATTGTGAATCACACTTACATGCATATTTATGTATCTGATATGATTCACGTGTATCTTGGATATAGATTACATAGGAGAGTACGCAATAAATAGTAAATATGACCTTGTTCTAACTTAGTATCAGGGTTGAGAGGCTTTGAAGCAGCAGATAAAAGTTGGGCATGAGTGAAGACAAAGTTTTTTTGAGATTTGGCCATGAGTTCATGTACACTAATAGGATGATCAAAATCCTCTACATGACCATTCAAATGTACAACTCTAATAGTCTTTAATGTATCACATGATTTTGGAGAAAAACAACAATATGTTATTTTGATGTACATATTGTTAATTTTTTCCTTATTTCTCTCTAGCTAGTGTGTAAAAGGGTTCCCAAAGAAGATGTCCTTTTATATAAGGGGAAAGATGGTGCTGAAACCGGGTTGTGGTGCGGTAGTGGAATTGCTCCACCCTAAACCAGACATCTTGGGTTCGAGCTCTGGGTATGGAGAAAATCTCATTGGGAGCGTCATTCCCGAATGGGCCCTGCAGTGCACAATCCGAATTTAATCTAAGCTCTAATGCATACTCCAAATATCGAGTGGGAAACCAAAAAAAAATGGTGGTGGGATAGAGTTGTGGAGATAGATGATGAGAACACGCTATTTAAGTTAGGAATTTTTTTATTTGCTTCAAGGCTTATGTGACGCTCCCAATAGGATTTTCTTTATATTCAAGGCTCAAAGCCGAGACTTCTGATTAAAGATGGAGCAGTCTCATCACTGCACCATAATATACGTTGGTAGCTAAATATTATTATTAACTTCAATATATAATATATTTTTCATTAGCCATACACTATTTTTTTGAAGAAAAATACATGGCGTAGTCTTGGGGGTTGACGGAGTCAAGAAAAAATATACAAAAATACAATCATTACCGTGGTGGCCAATATTGGGACGCCACTTCATATATCGCTTTAGGATTTAAGTTATATATTGATTTTGTATACTAACGGTGGATAATAATTTATAATAACATACTCCGTCAATTTCAATTTATGTGAAATATTTAACTGAACATGAAATTTAACAAAAAAATTAAATGACTTTTCAAACTTCTAATCTACTAAAATTCATAGATATTTATGTTGCAAAAAAAATTATCTCATTGAAGTTGTTTAAAAAGTGGTAGGCACCCATCGTATCTTCTTACGACTATGACATTTATATCACTCTAGCTTTGGAAAATAGGTCTCCCCTTGACTAGTAAAAAAGAGAAAAAATGTGATATTTTATCTGGGAACATATAGTTGAAACTTGGAAGGTCCAAAACCAAAAATTAGGATAGGATGTTAGGTAGCAATTCACCAATATGTGATAAGAGGTTGAAAGACCTTGACTCTCTAGAGGAAGACTTGACTAAAAACAGCCGTTTGGTAGAGCATATTGGAGAAAATAATAATATATTAGTTTGGTGTATTATTGGTTTCGTGTTTGGTACAATTTTATAATCTATGCATAACTAATGCTTGTAGTAGTAATACACTCTATTGTGTATTGAACAGTGTATTACTAGTATTGAAGAGTATATTACTATACCATGGAGTTCTATGCATTAGTAATGCAATGGGTTCTAATGCATGCATTAGCATTGTTAAAGACAATTGTCCTCAAAAACCTTTTCACATCCATTTCACTATATTTGTGGAGGGTAGTTTTGTAAATAATTTTTAATTTTTTTAAAAAATGCAATTCATGTTTTTTTAGTACACCAAACCAAACATTGCATAAAAAAATCACTGCTTAACTAATGCAAACATTATTAATGCGCTATATTCTGCATTATTCTTATACACTCTACCAAACGACCATTTAGACTTCTTCAATAAATCCTGGAATAAGACAACAATTTCATGATTGTGATGAATTAATAATAAAAATACAAGGAAACAAAATATAGAGAAAGAAGTTGGGGGGAGAGATTTTATTTCTCTTGAAATTGATATTTAGTTTTTCTTATATATTGAAGAAAAAAAGTTGTTATAATATTGACTCCATAATTCGTATAAGGAATAAATATATTTTATAGGTTCCTTTGTAAGTTACAGGCATTGTGTTAAGTAAAGCACGTACAGAAACAACACAATATTATATCATGGAAAATTCTGGTTCATGAAAGGTAAAATATCACGATCTACACATTTGTAAAATTTAACTCAATTTCAATAAATTCTAAGCTAATGATTTTAGATTACAATACATGCATGCAATCTTATGAACTAACTCTAATCCCTATGAATCAACAATCACCATGAGTCTTCAAGTTACCCCTAATTGAAAGAAAATTTAAGCTATGAAAGAAAAAGATTACAACTCGATAATTAATGATCTTGGACATATTTATATGCCTAAAAGCCAAATAACACTCATACTTTAGCTAAGTTTGAGGATAAATTTCATTTTATTGATAGTGTTCGAGTCATGTTATTGCATTATGATTAACCAATGTGATTAGTGATTGTAGGTTGGGAAGCAAAAGAAAAAAGCGCAAAAGTGAAAGCACGTGAAGTAGAGTTCGGTCTGATCACAAAGCACAAAGGACAAATTAAAGGGTCAAAGGATAAAAGGAAGTTCAAAGTGAGAAAATTGTATCCTCTTCGCGTCGCGGATAGGGAATTTATTATTCCACTCTCGATGGTTACTGAGACAGAAGAGTACGTATCCTCTCCGTGTCGCGGAGAGGAATAGTTCAGGAAATTGTGAAAAAGCAGTGCACCTCTGCGTTGCGGAGGTGGAGCCTAGATTTATGCCGACTTTTTTCAAACTATAAATAGACTTGGATTTTATTATTTATTTTTTCTTTTTTGCTTTTGGTGAACGACGACTTGGAGAACTTTACTTCAATTTTTGGGTTCATTCATACTCTTTACTTTTATCGATTTCTCTTATGATTATTAGATACTTGAAGATTGAAAATCACATCATGAGTAGTTAAATTTTCTTATTATAAGGTTGTGGCATAGGATCATTGTGTATTATTGAACTTTATGGATTGAAGTTGGTAATCGCATAAATTACTCTTTTGTTCTTGATTTGATATTTCATGATTAGCCACCATTGAAATAAATTTATTTTCCAAATTGAACTCGAGAGAAGGATAGGAGGATAGAATGTGGGACAAAAGGAGCATGATCTTCTTTAGAAACTAGGGTTGATTTGTATCTAGGATTGGGATATACCTAGAGACCTTGCTTGATTACAAAACTAGATAAAAATGTAATGCTCGGCAATTGGTTCAGTTTATCCTTGCTCAATAATGTAGTTGGGATGTCAATTGCAGTAGGCGATTAGAGGCCGGGACGCTATGTCATACATTTAACCCTGTAAATCAGTGACTTGATAACCAATTGAAGTGCAAAAAGGAGATATTATTCTTGAATTCAAAGGATATAATTATATTTGTTTATATAATTGTATTCATTGATACACTTGATACAGAGTAAATATACATGGAATATATATATATATATATATATATATATATATATATATATATATATATTGGTTGATACAATTGTATTCTTTAACACAAATTAATTGCATAAGTTGTATTTATTAATACATCATTTGTTCTCTCTCCTCGTTCTAACATATAGTTGTAAAGAACTATCTTATACATATATACATACATATCATATATACTAATTCTATTTATACTTTCAAATTATTGCATATTTTATGATTGATTAAGAAATTTCTATCATATATTGAGAGAGATACATCTAAATACATGTATTTTTGCAATCAGATACACTAAAATAGGGAGAGAGGCGAGCGATATGAGAAGGGAGATAGCCATGTATCCAGATACATGTGAATCACACTAGATACATGTATATGTATGTATATGGGATATCAATTACATAGGAGAGTACGCGAGCGATATGTGAGGGAGACGAGGAAGATTTTTCTATCGATACATGCAAATCTACTTGGATACAATGTATCTAGAACCAATCACACCTAATTTTGACATCATGTATCCCGAGATACAAGTATCTAGACACATCAAAAATTTGTAAGATTTCTAATATTGCAAACTAGAACATATCTAAATAATTAGCTCCTAAACTAGTGAAATTAAGCAAAATATAGTTAAGGTGAAACTCTTAGCATTTTTTAGAGGGTCAAGTTTCAAGCATTAGCATTCCCAAAGGCCCACATAGTATTTTGGGTTGAAAACAGAGAAAAGGAATGTGTGGATTTGCTTATTAGGCCCAAATTTCGACCCGCTGGTTTATCTTCTTCAGCCATGGCGATTGAAGCACTCTGTACGTTCCTTTCTCTCTCTCCACCCCATAATTTGGAGTCTTAAACTCCATTTTTATGGTTGAGTAAGTTTCATACTTCTTTGCCATTTATTACAAGTGAATTTGCACTTTTATTTGATTGTTTACTCTAAATATTTGATGTTGTAGTAATTTCATAACAATTATCATGGAAACAGGTGTTATTAACACATTCCCTAACTTCAAAATACCTCCTTCCTATATCACAATGAAAAATTACTTGCTTTTTTATCCTGTAAAGACTGCATTTTTAACTAGTAATTCAAGAATTAAGTTATCCTCCAAGTTTCATATATGTTGCTTAGATCCTTCTAGAAGTCACAATTCCATAGGAACTAAAACTTTGGTTGAAAATGAAGTAGAAGAAGAAGAAGATGATGATGAGGGTTCTAGTGATAGTAAAAATCAGGTTAGGGAGGAACCGTCCGAGGTGGACTGGGAAGCAAAATTCCTTGGAAAGATGGAGCCATCTGGGGATGTTTTACCTGAAAAGAAGAAAAAGAAAGTAAATTCTAGATTGCTTAAGAATACAGAAACAATGGATTGGTGTATGAATGCTAGGAAAGTTGCTCTTAAGTCTATTGAAGCTAGAGGATTGACTCCTGTTATAAAGAGTATGGTTGGTGGAAATAAAAAGACCAAAAAGAAGAAGAAGAAGATTAAATCTAAGGTTGATAAGAAAAGACCGGATGAAGAAATTGATGGAGAGTTGGAATTTGACTCGGATGATGAGGATTTCGATTTGGATGTTGAAGTTCCTCTAGGTAATAGAAGTGACCTTAAAATGACAGTAAGCATGTTTGCTGATGGTATGTTTGAGGAACAGAAAGCTAAAAACATGGAAACGTTTGTCCAAAGGCTATCTGAATTTGCAGGACCATCGGATCGTAAGAAAGAAATTAGCTTGAATAAAGCAATTGTTGAAGCACTGACAGCTGAAGAAGTGTTAGAAGTCACTTCTGAGACAGTCTCAGCTGTTGCGAAAGGGCTTACCCCATCGCCTCTTTCTCCATTAAATATAGCCACATCATTGCATAGGATAGCGAAGAACATGGAGAAAGTTTCAATGACTAGGAGCAGAAGGTTGGCATTTGCTCGCCAAAGAGAGATGTGTATGCTTGTAAGCATTGCTATGACTGCTTTGCCTGAGTGCTCAGGACAGGGTGTTTCAAATATTGCGTGGGCACTGTCAAAAATTGGTGGTGAGCTTCTCTATTTGACAGAAATGGACAGAGTGGCAGAAGTAGCGTCGACTATGGTTGAGGAGTTCAATTCACAAAATGTTGCTAATATAGCTGGGGCCTTTGCGTCAATGCAGCACTCTGCTCCGGAACTGTTTTCGAGGTTAGCGAGAAGGGCCTCGGACATAATTCATACTTTTCAGCCTCAAGAGATTGCTCAAGTCTTGTGGGCTTTTGCTTCTCTGTATGAGCAACCTGGTCCCATGCTTGATGCACTTGATAATGTTTTTAGTGATGGTAATCAGTTCAAATGCCGCTTGAAAGATGATAAATTACCTTATAGTAAAGAAAGAACACCCGATGGTACTGCAGATGTTGATTCTGGAGCAATTAACTCTCCCGTGCTAAGTTTTAATAGGGATCAGCTAGGTAATATATCATGGTCTTATGCTGTTCTTGGGCAGATGAATCGAGTTTTCTTCACCAATGTATGGAATGCTCTCAGCTATTTTGAGGAGCAACGGATATCTGAGCAGTATAGAGAAGACATTATGTTTGCTTCCCAAGTTCATCTTGTGAACCAATGTCTCAAGCTAGAGTACTCACATCTTGACTTATCCCTGAAAGGTGAACTGGAGGAAAAAATTTCCAGTGCTGGAAGGACAAAACGGTTCAATCAGAAGGTTACTTCCTCATTTCAGAAGGAGATTGCTCGCCTTCTTGTAAGCACTGGGCTAGATTGGGTAAGAGAACATGCCGTGGTTGGTTATACCCTGGACGCAGCGGTCATTGACAAAAGAGTTGCTCTTGAGATAGACGGCCCTACTCATTTCTCAAGGAACTCAGGTGTTTATAGCTTCTTATTAATTCATTATCATCTGCAGACCTGTTAGTATCATGATTTTTTTTAATCATCCGTTTTCCGAATTATTAAAAAGTTGCATTTTTCTGAAATCTGTGATGACGTTATTACCCCCCTTGCAGGATCCCCCTTGGGACATACAATGCTAAAGCGGAGATTTATCACTGCTGCTGGTTGGAAGCTCGTATCTGTCCCTCATCAGGAAGTAAGTTTTGGCATATTTTCACTTATGATCAGTTATATCTGATTGAAGATTATTGGCATTCTTATCTTAGTAAAGCTGAATGAGAGATGTTTTTGTGAACTACTTCTCACCTTCCGCTTCCTGCCCCCAGAAGAGGGAGAAAACTAGTTCAACATGGGAAACACTGAAGGATTTCCATCCAACATTAGGTTCACACATTCTGGAGCAATAACGATCTCAAGTACTATATTATAAACAAACACTGTCAATATGATTACAATAGAACTAAAACTTGAAGGAAACAGAAACAATACAGAAGCATGAATAAAGATAAAGAAGGGAATGAGGATTAGAAGGACACAAAGGTGAGAATAAGAAATTTCTATGACTTGTTGCCTACCCTTACTCATCCTCATTTTAGCTACTTATACTAACTCCCAGCACATATGTTGCCCTTCTCGTATTTTGTCCGAGTCACTACCAAATCAGTTAATTTCTTAGGCACAGTCCTCAAATGTGTTTTTCTCCTTGGCGCCACATTCAGGTTATCCAGCTCAGCAGAATGTGGGTCCACAACACACTCCCTTGGATTCAACGTTTTCCACCGTCATTCATCACTTAATTAGAAACTAAGGACCCGTTTGGTAGGCGGTATTAGATGAAATAATCCAAGGATTAAAATTTAGTCTAGCTAATACATTGTTTGGTTACTTTATTTAATTTAATCCATGGATTGCTTATCCACCATATGTGGTCTTATCTTATCCCTAGAAAATGGAGGGATAACTAATCCAAGGTTTAACAAACCTTGGATAAGACCCCTAAATGACTAAACTATCCCCTTATTCCTTTTCCTAAATTTCTTTTGTAATGTAATTTCCTTTTTATTTATATTGAAATGGTTATAAATGTTCTTTTTTAATTCTCCAAATTCGTTTTGTGTAATTTAATGATTTCACTAAAAATAATTCTCTATTTTTTCTTGATTTTTTTTATTCAAGATAGTTTATCGATTAACCACTTGAACTATTTATTTTTATTTTTTTTAAAAAAACAAGCTTTAGGTATTGAACAATTTAAGTAGTCTTAAATCTATGTTAAGTTTAAGATATACTTGACCAACAAAAAATTAGAAATACACCATGCCATTAATGATCTCTTTATAGTGGTACATCATCCCTTAAAATTAATAACAATTTATATATATATATACATACATACATATTTGACTTAACTTGTTAAATGGAATAGAAAATCCTACAAAAAAATAATATTGTCCGGCGGTTATCTACCTTGACCCAAATACATGAAATTAACAACCTCATAATAACACAAGGATATAATAGGAAAGAAATTTTTTGTAGAGTTTTAAATCAAACACAAGATTAAGTGGAAAGTAATGAACCAAACACTTGCCAAAAAATAATCCCTGCATTATCAATGTTTGTACCAAACGACCCCTAAATGTCAAAGAGAAAATAGACAGACAGATTGATAAGTGTGATACAAACAAAGCTTGCAGGAAACAAGGGTCTGGGTTTAGCATTATACTTCACCTCTCTGTCTTCCATAATATGAGCAAACCAAGTGATGTTGTGATAGCAAGCCTCCATGTCTATTCCCCCAGTTTATCCCCTGATTCCCTTCATATATCAGACAAACAGCCTTAAGAGCCCATTGGGGTGACCCTAGCTTGCTGATGTGTATGTTTAGGATGTCTTACCTATTTTGAAGGGTGAACAACTATTGGCTTCCTATGAAACATTACCAGAACATCCATTTTCTGTGTCAGACCATGTAATCCCATGGTAAGTTGCTCCCCAGAAGTTTTGGGGTGTTATGGCAAACTTGAGGGAAAAAACATTCACATCTATCTTTTTGCAGGGAGAGGAAATAAAGGAAATAAGTTACTAAAAACCATTCTCTTCTTGCAAGGGCTGTTTCTATATATCCATAGTTCCCTTGGTGTTACTATGATAGAAGGATACTTCAATCAAATAAAGAAAACTATTCAGAGCAGCTTCTATTATTAGATGTTGGTCTGATGTTGTATTTACCTTCTTCCACACATATTAATAATTTGTGAACATATAGTTCATGGACACAAATATGTTTGCATTTCTTTTTTAATGTAAAATGTAAAAAGGACAAATCGCAATTTGACTAAGTGGTCCTCGTTGATTGTAACTTTGCAGTGGGAAGAGCTCAAAGGAGGGTTTGAGCAGTTAGAGTATCTCCGTGGCATTATCAAAGATCATTTCAATGAAGGAAGCTTCAATGTGGAAATGGAAGATGGTCATTGAAGTATAATAGGAAAACCATAACTGTATTTTATTGTGCTTCACTCATTCCTTCTTCGTTCCTCTATCATATAGCAGGTTTATACTTCTCTTACTTTTCAAAGTTTAAATGTCTTCAGACTTTTGAATTCTATACTAATGTGAATTACTTTTAAATTTTAATAAAGTATAATTATATGAACTAAATTTTGTGGTAAGCCTGTTTAGTTTTCCTGTATCCTTCGTCAACGCAACAAATATTCTTGTTTTGCTGGGTTGACAATGTTCCTATTGTGAAGTCCTCTTTGTGAGGTATTACTACTTGAAGATATAGATTTACGAACTTCCTAACTGAATATCAATCCTTGATGTCGTTGAGATCTCTTTAATGGTTTATGGAGTCGTATACTTGTAATAGAAGCACGCATACAGTACGAGGCATGCAGACTCTAGAAAGTACTAAACTTTGTATAAAGTATGCATACCACACAACCTTTTACTTTAGGTTCAATCTATATGCTGCAGAACTTATAATTTTGCTAGTAATTCTGCTGCTACTGGCTTTTTATGCAGGTATCTTTTTACCCAAGCCATAAAGTTGTTCCTGTGTTCTGAGATGATCTGGCTACATCTATATGCAAGTAACTACTTTATTAAGGTGTAAAGGCGTCGTTTCAAAGGTAACCGGTTAGGTTGACGAAAATGCAGTATGCAAATAACTCATTGGAAAAGAAGGTGGAAATCTTGACAAAAGAATTTCGTTTTGCTTGAGGGATCGAAACTGATACTATAATGTAGTAGTTTTTATTTCCAATGTGTTTGGATACTATTTTCAAAGAGAGAATTTGTATGTTTTCTCCATGCATTATTAGAAAAAATAATGCATATACTAGTTTTGTGTCTTATTAATATCTTGTTTGATATATCTTTTTAGCCTATGTATAACTAATGCGAGAGTAATACACTCTATTGTGTATTGAGGTGGAATTTCAATACATACATTAAATTAGTTAATGACATAACTACCCCAGGGGTGGCTCAATGCCTTTAAAAATGAGGCATATGCCTTAGGCCCCCAAAATCAAAGGACCTACTTTTTTAGTAAAAATAAAATTATCTTAAGCTTTTTTTAACAAAAATAAATAAATAAAGAATGTTTAATTTGTTTCGAAACATTAAAGAATATTTCTTTTTATGGATCAATTTTTAAAGTTAACTTCCACATGATATGGTTAAGACCACAAGATTAAAAAATATTTTGGTATATATATATATATATATCTTTAGTTTAAGATTATAAAAAAATAAAACTTTTTTTTATTAAAAAGAAAGAAATAACTTGAATCTCAAATATAAAAAAAATAATTAAAATTTAGGTCTCAAACTTATTTTTGGCTTTAGGCCACTAATTAGCTTGAGCCGCCACTGACTACCCCTCAAATTCCTCTCCAGGCATTTCCCAAAGGGTATTTTTGGAAACAAACATATAGAGATAATGCAATATAGTATAGTTTTTAATACACTAATCTAAACACTGCATAAGAAATAATCTTATCATAACTAATTAATAGAGTACAGTTATTATTAATACACTTTATTCAACATGATTCTACGATCCAGAGTATGTAAACAAAGTATGTGGTGTATTGTATAATAGACCACATGAATGTAACTGAAAAAGACATGTGTTAGGAAGTCCAATATCCTCGTACTCCCTTTTGTTCTACATATCAGGTAATTCTTTGTTTTTTTTTTGTTGTTGATCATGTTCTAAGCTATGTCATCTCCACGAAAATCGGAAAAAATTGGCAGGTCTTTCCGAGACAACAACAAGGAAGACAGAGAAGACGAGGAAAAAGGTGGATTCGTTGGTAAAGTTAAGGACTTCATTGAAGATGTAGGTGATAAAATCGAAGAAAAAGTTGGATTTGGGAAACCAACTGCAGATGTTACTGCAGTTCATTTCCCTTATATCAATCTAAAAAAGGCAAAAATAGTAGCAGATGTGTTAGTGAAGAATCCAAATCCCATTCCAATCCCTCTCATCGATATAAATTACTTGATCGAGAGTGATGGAAGGAAACTGATCTCAGGATTGATCCCTGATGCTGGAACAATCCATGCACATAGTTCAGAAACTGTGAAAATACCTGTGAATTTGGTATATGATGAAATAAAAGATACATATCGTGATATAAAGCCCATTCCTTATCGGATTAAAGTAGACCTCATTGTTGATGTACCTGTTTTTGGTAGACTTACTCTGCCTCTTGAGAAAAAAGGCGAGATTCCTATACCTCACAAGCCCGATATTGATGTTGAGAAAATACATTTTCAGAAATTTTCTTCTGAAGAAACAATAGCTGTTCTTAAATTGAGACTAGAGAATAAGAATGACTTTGATCTCGCGGTTAATGGACTTGATTATGATGTTTGGTTATCCGATGTCAACGTTGGTGGTGCTGATTTAGAGAAATGTGCGAAGATTGGGAAGAATGGAGTCAGCTATATGGATCTTCCTATTACTTTCAGGCCGAAAGATTTTGGTTCTGCTCTTTGGGATATGCTTCGCGGGAGAGGTACTGGCTACACTATGAAAGGTCATGTTAACGTGGACACGCCATTTGGTGCAATGAAGTTACCTATTAGTAAGGAGGGTGGAACAACGCGTCTCAAGAAGAATAAAGAAGATGGTGGATCAGATGATGACGATGAAAATGAGGTTAGTTAATATTGTTTTAGCTTAAGAGAAACTTCGTGTTCACCTTTAGTTTAACTAGTTGGTTTGAACTACAATTCATTGTTATACTTTAACCGCAAATCTTACAATGTCATATCAAGCCATGACTAATGAGGGCTCATATTGTTTGTGTAACGACTCCTCTTTGCCTATGAAATGATCGTTGTAACTATATATTGTTGATCGCTTAAAATCTCCCACTACATGATCATTGTCTGTGGATGGGCTATTGTAATCAACTACTGGTCCCCTACCAAATTGGGAGGGTGAAGCTAGATTTCATTTAACCACTAGACAATGCGGGACCTTCTATGCCCATGTTGTCATTTAGCTACTAGACTAGAAAGTCCATTTGCAGTGCAGAGACGGAGCCACCTTAGGTGAAGGGTGGTCTGATGTGCACCCTTCATCGGAAAATTATGTTATGTGTACAGAGGCTAAATGTTAGCTATTACGAGTCTTAAACAATGTGTTGCTTAAGCATTTCCTTTTTTATATATTTGACAGAATTAATTGAAGTTGCAAGAGGAATATTAACTTCTTGAGGTCCCAAAATAACTATTGATTGAAGGCATGGTTGTGAAATTTATCTATGAAGCTATAAGGAGTCTTGGAATGTATGTATGTCCATTTCAAATAATATTATTTTGCTAAAGGGACTAGTTGGTTTATCTTTCTTATCTTCTGATTTCTCCATGACTTCTTATCTTTTGCCATAACATATAGGCATGATCAGGAGTGAGTCGAGTCGGATATGAGTTGGTTAAAAATGAGCTGAATAAAAATAGATAAAATATTTGATTCAACTAATACTTAATATGATTTGAGAATGGGTGAACTCAATAGATAATATGGGATCAATATTACCCACATTATATATTATGTAGAGAAATACGTACTTCAATTACAATATTTTATTTTGTTCTTTTTCTCTTTTTAGGATATGTTTGGTATGAAGAAAAATATTTTCATTATTTCTTTGTTAAGTTGGATCACAGGCTTGGACTCATTTCTGGTGGTGAGGTTTAAGGGATGTACTTTTGAAAAGTATTTTCCTGATTTAAGAAAAGTTTTGATTTTTTCCCCTTTTACTTTAGGTATGGAAATCACTTTTTTCTAAATTAGAGGAAAATAAGTCCATTTGAAAAATATTTTTACAAAATATTTATGTCAATCAAACATGAAAAAATTGAAAAATATTTAATAAAAATAATTTTTCGTTCATACCAAATACATCCTTAATATGTGCACTTTTTAGAGGCTCATATACCCTTACATATATTAAGGAGAGTGCGATTGGTGAATATCCCTGAGTTATTCATATTTTATGATAATATGAGTTGATTCATAGTTGACTCACTTTTAAATGATTGGATAACATCCATTTTAAAACGATTTAATTGAGCGGATATCTATATATTTGACCCGTTTTCCCTACCATAGGTATAATACATAAAAGTATACTTCCTCCGTTCCATATTAGTTTGATCTTTTTTCTCTACACACATATTAAGAAAATAAAAAAGAAGAAGATAATTTTATTAATTCACCCCTTATAAAATTTTTTGCAAAATTTACAAACAAATATGAACATTTTTAAAAACAATTAATTGCTAGGATAATATAGGAAAATTTTAATTGAAATTTTCTTAATTTAATAAGGTGGACAACTAATATAAAATAATTATTTTTAGTAAGATGATCAACTGATATGAGACTGAGAAAATACTTAGATTCAATTAGTATCTATATCCTACAATTTTAAATGTACACAAATAAACACTTAAATTTATATAAAATTAAATAACTAAACACATACATTATCTAGAAAATAGAGTAATACTCCTCCTTTCGTTTTATTAATTTTAGGAACATTTTTTTTAATCCATCCCAAAATTTGCAAGCTTTTCAATTTCAACATGAGAAGTTTAAAATCACAACACAAAATTTTAATCTTTTTAATATTTTTTTATACCAAATCAAATTTAGATACTTCAATTGGACAAAGGGAAGTATTAAATTTGTGAATTTACTTTACACGGTGTAATGTAGAATGGGAGTGATTCTGTAAGATTTTTTTTTCATATATTAGAATAGTCAGATGTCAGTTCTTTTTATTTGGTCATTTTGTGGTAAAGATTGTGTAAATCTAAAGTGGTTAGAGACGTAAACGTACAAAAATGGTTACATACAGTGAACTCTAAAAATACAAGGAAGTTAGCGGTTTGAAAAAAAAATTATTAGATTAATCGATAACTCGATAGTAAATTAAATATTTATATTTATACCATTTAGTATATGAAATTCGTGACTTAGAGTTCAGTTTTATATTTTTATATTTGATTGTCTCGAACGTTTGGTTATTCTACATTATGACGACGGTGTTTGCTTTTGAGCGATGCAATCTGTCAACTCATGTGTATGGTTCATTTGGTTTGTTACCTTGTTTCTAAGTGATTTTCA